CTGTCCTGTGCCCCCTGCTCTGGGTGAGCCTGCTTGGGCAGGGGGGTGGGACTGGGGGATCTCCGGAGGGCCCTGCCAACCCCAGCCATGCTGGGATTCTGTGACACACCACAGACCTCCAAGGCCGTGAAGAACACACACCCAAACAAAAACCTGCTGGAATAAACCTCCCTTTTAATTAAGCCTGTGCGACAACTTAAGTCATTTAAATACAAAGCGTCCCCGGCTTTGCGGCAGCACGGCACGTCCTAGAAGGGGAACATGGTGAACGATTTCATTTGAAACTGCTGCGGCGCTTCACTGACAAAACAAAATAGAAGTTTGGCTACGTGCAAACGCGTGGCACACAAGGGGGCAGGAGCCAAGGTTTCATTTGTAACAGGCTCCGAACGCGCCTTTACTTAAAACACACGCAGAGCTCCAAAAGCATCCGTTCAAATTCAAGTTACCGCATACGTTTGTCAGCCAGCCCAAAGTTCTCCAGCACCGGCCACTCTGCTTCCTGCTGCTGATTTATTTTCCTTTTTACCGGTAAAGGCACCGCATCCCATCCGGCCCCATTTGCCGCGTGCAGATCAGCTCTAGGAGGATGCCACATTGCCTCGCTGCCTTGCCGCGCTTCCACCAAAACTGAACGTTGGCCTTTTTGTTCCTTTGTCTTCTTGAAAGATTTATCAGGTGAGGAAGCAGAGGCTGAGCAACTTCCTCCTTCAGACAAATCCCATTTTTAAAAGCGCAGCGATAAAAACTTCCTAGGCACTAAATGTTTTCTCCTGGGCAGTATCACCGAGCACGTGTCAGCCTACGGCGGCGCTCGGGAATTATCCGATGCTCCCCTGAGGCAGGAGCAGGGAGAACACGAGGAAAACCAACCCCAAATCCTGTCAGGATGACGCCACGCCGAAGATCTTGAGCGAGCGCCGTGACTGCAGGTGGGCGTTTTGACTCCAGCACGGCGCCTTCGGCGCTCAACCGGGGCTGCCGACAGACCGTGGCTGTGTCGGCCGGACCCAGGGCTCGCCCGCACCCGCAGCTCCTCGGCCACGCAGGCCACCACGTAACTCGCCATTCTATATTTTATACAGATTGCCTGGGAATTCACCCAAAACGTCACGGTGTCCTGGAGCAGCGAGGTGACTCACCAGGAGGCTGGGTTCGGTTCCTCTTTCCTATGCTGCCCTTCCACCTTACGCCGCTCGTTTGCCCACGGGTGGGAAATCCCCTCACGCAGAGCACGGGGATGGGGTTTTGGAGACGCATCACCCGTGTTCCCGCCAGCTCCCACACCGCCACGGCTCCACCGCTGCCTGAAGCCCAGCCAAGCTCGCAGCCGGCGGCACCAGAGCATCCCCGAACGCTCAAGTCACCTCACGCTACTTCGGCGCCCGTACCCGGGTGGGAGCGGGGACAGCCGCCCCCGGGGAAGGGCCGGGCCCTCTCCTCCATCACCCGCGCTGCCCCAGCCCACGGCGCTGCTCCCCTGACAGGACGGGTCGGCCCCAAACGGGCCGTGGGCTGATTTAACCAAACCCGCGGTATTTCAGCCCCGTTAGCCAGGCCGCCCCACGGGGGAAAGCCGCATCACGAGAAGCCGGCTCGGCCGTTGGCGGAAGGATCCGCTCCTCAGTGAAAGAGCAAAACCCACCCGAGGCGGGGGGGCTCGGGTTCAACACCCACGCCGGCCCCCCCCCGGCCTCGCTGCCCCCCG